AGGAGCAAGTTTAGTAATCAGGAGATGAGCAACCAGCTGTGTTAAAGGGAAAGAAGCAAAACTACTGAAACTTTATCTAGTGTTTAAGTAACGTTCTTACATGCCTGAGTTTTTGTGCCCGGAACTCCCTATCAGGTATAATTCTACCTAAACTTGTCAAGAGGGGAAAAAATAGAATTTTTTTCCCCTTGGAACAGTGGCAGCATTTGTTCTCTATTCTTTTATTTAAAGACTGGGCGAGTTACCTCAGCAGCAGCTCTCAAAAGAAAACCTAGAAGCCATAATTGGCTAAACTCAAAGAGCACTAAAACACAAAACAAAAAGCCATTGCAAACGACTCCCCCTCAAAGTGCTTTTTTTAACACACAACCTCTGCAGCAGCACAGTAGTCAAAACAAGAGAGTGAGCAGGAATAGAGTAATAGTCTGGGTCTTTTCAACCCAGCATCTTCAAACTAGGGAAGGTTTTAGAAGTAAACTTCAGAAGAGAACCACTCTTAGTTCATTTCCATCCTCTGCAGCAAATACTGGTTTGGCTGATCTTAGGCGTGGGGTAAAGCTTTTACTCAGAATCCATTGCAAAGTCAGAATCACTTGCATTTGAGGGAAGATCACATAAAAATTTGCATTTTTAAGACACTTGACTTAGACCTAAGAAGATAAAAGCAGTACTATGTTTCTCCTGCACAAGAGGGGGGAGCACATTTTCTACAAGTAAATGAAACCACCTCCAACAGGAAAAAAGAATAATCCAGATTTCACTAACACACAGGGATACAACTGACTGAAGGGCTTGCTCTCACTTGAACAAACTCTTTACATTCTTCACCCCTTGGAAAGACAGCTAGAGCACCTTCTGCTTTCCTAGCACCAAACAAAAGACTGGGGCACCTTCCTGAAATATGATGATTGTAGAAATTGCAGCTCCTAGACAGGGTGCTTAGAAAGCATTTTGCTGTCACTATCAGCTAACCCTGAGTAATACACTTAAGGAAAACAAAGCATGGGCATTGTTTTAAGTCTAGATTAGCACTGTGGAACTTCTTTGAAAACAAGTTGCTGAAGCTATTCAAGCAGCAGCATGACCTTTGTAAGCTCAACTGGCAATATAAGCAGTAGATAAACTTCAAAAGTGTTTTCAAAAAATAAGCATATTCTGTATTTCTGATACATTTCAGATTCTAAACAAATACAGAGGTAATTCTGGAATAGAAGTACACTGATGAAGCAAATTGTTTGGCCTATTGAGTATGTATAGTCTTAACAGTGACTTTAAAGGATACTTTTGTCATTTACAACCTAAAAATACCAAGTTGTTTCCCTTCCCCCTGTTACTTTGATGGTCAGAAAGAAGCCACTGAACTACCAGAGGTCCTGCTGGAGAACACAGAGGTAGATTAGAAATTCAAATAAGCATTGTGTGACCTCAAGTGAGGCAGGTCTTGATTTTATTCATGTTTTATCACAGCTTGGAGAGAAAAGATATCTTTAACACCGTTTTTAGAAGAAATCTCAGCTTTTCAAATATACCATAACTATTTATTTTGTGATGCCATTGCCTGCCATTAGGACAGGGAGTGCAGCTGGACTCCACACCTTAGAGTTGTTCTTGGGTACATTTTTTCCTGTACAGCACAAATTACTCTGAACATCTTAAAATGAGCTGTCCTCGTGCTCAGCTGCAGCACAGTGATAAGTCCACATGCAAGGCTCATGCATTGCTGCTATTTGTAGTAATACACTTGCTTCCATAGTCCCAAGAAAAGTAATTTAACCATGTGGTTCAGCAAAGTTCAGGAAAACATTCAACTCAGAATAAAGATAAGCAAAAAAAAAAAAGCTGCTGTTTAGTGGTTCTGATGTTACTTTTACCAAAAAAAGAGTGATTTTTTGCTTTTAAAAATTAATTTTAGCACAGGCTTTCTAAAATCTGCTCTGTTCAAAAGTAATGGCTCCTTTCAAAACCATGTGTCCATGAAGCCTCCCAGTCTGATGTTGCAGAAACCTGGATACAGTGTCTGTACCAGTGGGGGTCACTTTTCTTTTCATCCTGCCGGATCAGCTATAATGACTTGGTGTCAGGGAATATTTAGAGACAGCTCAAGAAGGGGAAAGTTGGAGCATGGCAGCAGGATTCCCTTCTTCTCTGTAGACAGATCACTGGAGCCTTTGATATGCAAAAACATTGTTTTCAGCTATGGCTTGAGATATAAAAGGGAAGTGCGAGATATCAAACAATCAAGACCTGAAGAAAACTATTCTAAGTTTAGAGAAGGGAGTGGGGGGTATAGTCTTAATCCACATTTTTGAAACAGTGTCGTCTTCTCCAAAGAGACCTTTTCTTTTTCTCTCTCTTGTTTTCATGTAATTTTGAGAGAAGGGATAAAAAAAATTCCAGGAACTTAATGAGCTTTAGTGCTTTCATTTTAATCCTACACATTACTGTTATTACAATAGCGGCAATAAATGAAGAGATGACTATCAAATGGAGCACAGAGGAAACAGTTTATGTGCTAGAAAGGTAAAACAAATGAACTTACTTTCTGTATGTGCATGGATCTATGTAATATATGCATACTAGAGCCAACATTTTGCTTAATATTAACAAGTTTTTTACAGCTCAGAGGTCTAAAGAAAATTTATGGTTTTAAGTACTTAAAAGTTATTGTAGCCATCAAAGGCCTATTTAAGGAATTTATATTCCTACTTCACAATACCCTTCCAGAAAATAGCCTCTATCACAACTTCACATTCGTTCCTAAGAGATAGACCATTCCCTTCTACAGCTGTTAAGCAGCTGTTTATTTCCAAGTTTCAGGAATAGAGCCTGGACTTCTTCCCCCAAACACTTCAGCAACATAGAGCAAGAAAACTGGACACTGGGAGAACACGGAGCCTTTTTGTTCCATTTTATAATGATTATATAATTTACCCGAATTACATAAGTTAACAGTAAACATGCCTTCCCTTCTATTTAAAATGTGGCCAGGCAGATTCAGTTTTTGCCTTAAATAAAGCTTATGTTAAAATACTTTATGCCACAGTGAGGGTCTCCCATTTTGAGTTACTGTTTTCCCTGCACAACTGCTGCAAACAAGGTGCAGAAAACAAAGCTCAGAGGAGCGCGCAAGCAGCAGCAGGAGAGAAGAGGCTTTGCCATTCCCTCACTGGACTGTCACACCATCTCTCAAGAGGGGGGGGATTTGAGGTTTTTAATTATTAACATTTTTCTGTGAAAAAGAGCAGCATAATTTGTATCTATGTCAATAATTTTGTGTCACTGCATATTTCCTGGTGCCATAAGGATTATGAGTGATCCCGTTCATGATGGACCTGCTACAAATTGCAAAAGATGGTTCTAAAACAGAATCTGTGTTCAGGTCGAGCGTTTCGTGAAGGACCAGAAGCTGCTCTAGTTTTGCTCCCAGGAAGGCTGAGCAAGTGTTACTCAGCTGTTCCTGCCGAGCATTTTGGTTCTGCTTTGCACAAACATCCAGTCACAAGAGGGAAAAGGATTTTTAAGCAAGTGACTATTAAGGATTATTTTTTTAAATTTTATTTCAGATTTTACTGCTTCTATTTCAGAAATACTACCTGTATTGTCCCCCTGAGGGGACACGGACTTGGTATCTCACTGGATGCTTTCTGCAGTAGTGATATGAAGTGGCCCAAGTTAAAAATAACCAATTAATTAGAATTCTTTAAGAAATATAAACAAACAAAAGAGATAATATTTCTCTTTTTTCTTCTGAAATTCCACAGAGAAAACCCACATATGTACCTCTGTTGCCAAAGATCTGATACAGATGCCTGGCTAGTCCCCAACTCAGAATCAGCACACTGCAAATGGGAAATACTCATACAATATTTACCAAAACCATTTCCCCTCTCACCCAGTAACTACTGAACAGTAATTAGCTCCCTGTATGTTTAAAACCAAGGAGAGGATCATCATCATCTGTCTCTATTTACCAAGAACACAAAGCAAGCGACCATTTTGGCCTCCTCCAGGGAGGCAGCACTGGCATTTGTCATCAGGTGGGCAACATAATTTACAAATATTTTGTTACTCTCTGCCTTTATTTTCCACTGAAAGAAGGGAAAATATAGTGGAAAATATAGTTCCAGCAAAACCGCAGCAACATGAGACTAAACAGCAAAGTGTTTACTTCAAGAGCTCTGTGTATTTTTCTGAAATACAAGTGTTTTGGGAAAACAAGGTGAGCTGGTCGTTTGTACAGGGCATGCAACTTAATGCTAGTGTTAACCAGTTGTTATTAATTCCAATTTTTTTGTTTGTTTTTACTTTTGCAGGAAATTAAGCGTTCAAGGAAAGCTTTCAAAGGGGAGTTTTCTGGGAAGGAAATAATATTTTTGTGTGGGTTTTTTTAAATGAAGAAAACCACCTGAATTACCTAATGTTTCTATGGTAGAGTAACTTGCCTTCCTGCAGAGCAGGAGGAATTCTTTCCTGCATTACAAATTTGGAAGAAGTGATAAAAAGTGAGAGTCAGAAAATGGTTCTCTCCAAGAGGTGTGGATGTATCGGGATGTAGCTACTGTACAAAGGTCATACTTGGATAATTCTGGATAGGAAAAAGCAGCTCCATTCCTGACCTCCTGAAGAGGCTGCCATCCTTCAAGCCTCAGCATAATGAATAGTTTCCATCACGCGGCGCTCAAGTTACCTCCTCCGACTACGGCGCTGCACAGAAGAGTTTGTAAGAGTTACAAAGAAAGTAATTCCTGCTAAAGGCATTAAACCAAACAAAAGAGGCTCTTCATTCACAGACTTTACATGAGGACAAAAATAGGGGGAAGCTGAAGCTTTTCTACGCCCCAGCCTGGTGTGCTTATGTACCATGATAAATCTTGGTTGGAATGCTCAGTGAGTGTCGTGCCAGGAGCCAGGAAACACACACCACCGACAAGACCATCTGAGTAAACACCATTGAGAAAAAAACAACTCCATGGAGTAAAGCGTACGAGTGACTGGAGAGAAAGATATTCCTTGCTGGATATCCTCAAGCACAAAATTTGCTCATACCTTTAAATACGGTAGGATCAATATTAATTTCTTTTCCTTTTCATGCCTCAGAGAATAAAGTTCAATTAAAATATGAACCCACAAGAGAAAAGGTCATGACACTGCTTAATGCGTAGGTCATTTTGCAGGAGTTCTCACAACCCTAATTACAATGGTAATTGAATTATGTTGTCTTAAAAGCTATAAAAATGCTAATTGCCTGAGCGCAGTGTACAAACATACTACCAATGCAAAGAACAATCTCAGTCTCAAGAGTTAATTTATATTATCCTACTAATAAGATGGGAAAATGTGGTTAAACCTGCCAAATAGTCTCTTATTAGTGTGCTGCTTAGTAGGAAGACTTTCGAGAATGACAAATATTTAAAGATGAAATTAAGCATGTAATGAAATACTTCATCCAGTCAACTAGAAAGCCACAGCTCTATCAGCTACCTACCAGTTGTAACATTCACCTTTCTAAACATTCCAGCTTGAAAACCAAGCAAAGTAGGCCACAGTGTTTGTAACTTACAAAGTGTGATGGTGAGCACTCAGAAAGCCTTGGAAAAAACGTCTTTCCTGGCCCTTGATCTCCTGTCTGCATTTTATGCTTTGCCATTAGGGCTTTTTTGAACCTCCAAAATAGCTACCACTAACTTGTGGGTTTGGTAAGGGGTTTATAGTTCACTTAAGGGCTCCTGGGGTAGTTAGCTGGCTTAGGAATTACTTCTTATCTTTCAGATATAGAATGATTTACTTGAACTCTGGTGTGACTTCAGCTCTGTACTTAGCTGGTGCCTGTGAACAAAGATTGTCTGTACACAGGAGATGTGAAGGAATCCTTAGAAAGAGCCTTCTTGCTTAAGCAAAACAATTCACAGACTAGACATACTTGGTTGTATTATTTTCAATCACTGTGCAGAATAACCTATTAAGTTAATTGAATTAATACAAGAAATAGAAGAATTATTGATGTAAGGAAAAGAAATGTGTCTACATTTGGGCTTGGATTGTGGTTTAATACATGTGTTTCAGATGTCTTATGAAATGTTGAAGTTGAATTTTTATTGCAGTATCTTCGCTGATGATCTGGATAATTTTGTTTGTTTGGTTTTTTTAGATTGTTGAAGATCAGAACTGTATACAAATCTCATCATTCCTGACCATGATTAGTGTAACCTGGAGCATCTTCCTAGTTTGGACTAAACTAGGGCTGTTACTTGACATGGCACCTTATTCTGTTAGTGCCAAACCATGCCCTTCAGTATGTCGCTGTGATGTGGGTTTCATATATTGTAATGATCGCGATTTGACGTCTATTCCTACAGGAATCCCAGAGGATGCAACTACCCTCTTCCTTCAGAACAATCAAATAAATAATGCTGGGATTCCTTCAGAACTGAAGAACTTGCTTAGGGTGGAAAGAATATATTTATACCACAACAGCCTAGATGAATTCCCCACTAATCTCCCTAAGTACCTTAAGGAACTGCATTTGCAGGAGAATAATATAAGGACCATTACTTATGATTCACTTTCAAAAATTCCTTATCTGGAAGAACTGCATTTGGATGATAATTCTGTTTCTGCTGTCAGCATCGAGGATGGAGCTTTCCGGGACAACATCTATCTCAGACTTCTTTTTCTCTCTCGAAATCACCTTAGCACCATTCCCTGGGGTTTGCCTAAAACCATAGAAGAGCTACGCTTGGATGATAATCGTATTTCCACGATTTCCGAGCTGTCCCTTCAAGACCTTACAAATCTAAAACGCCTTGTTTTAGACGGAAACCTTCTAAATAATCATGGATTGGGAGACAAAGTCTTCATGAATCTAGTCAATCTTACAGAACTGTCATTGGTCCGCAATTCGCTCACAGCCGCTCCGGTAAATTTGCCGGGAACAAACCTAAGAAAGCTTTATCTTCAAGAAAACCACATCAACCGTGTGCCACCCAATGCTTTCTCGTACTTACGGCAGTTGTATCGACTAGACATGTCCAATAACAATCTCAGCAACTTACCTCAGGGTGTCTTTGATGATCTGGACAACATCACTCAGCTTTTTCTTCGCAACAACCCTTGGCACTGCGGGTGCAAAATGAAATGGGTCCGCGACTGGTTACAGTCATTGCCTTTAAAAGTTAACGTGCGTGGACTGATGTGTCAGGCCCCAGAAAAGGTCCGTGGAATGGCTATCAAAGACCTCAGTGCAGACCTGTTTGATTGTAAGGACGATGGAGTGATCAGCACCATCCAAATCACCACTGCAGTACCCAACACATTATACCCGGCCCAGGGCCACTGGCCTGTTTCTGTGACCAAACAACCAGACATCAAGACTCCCAACCTAAATAAAAACTACAGAACCACAGCAAGCCCTGTACGCAAAATCATCACAATCTTTGTGAAATCCGTGAGCACGGAGACGATCCACATCTCCTGGAAAGTTGCACTACCAATGACTGCTTTAAGGCTGAGCTGGCTCAAGATGGGTCACAGCCCTGCCTTTGGATCTATAACTGAGACGATAGTCACAGGCGACAGAAACGACTATCTGCTCACAGCTCTTGAGCCAGAATCTCCGTACCGTGTGTGCATGGTTCCCATGGAAACCAGCAACATCTATCTCTCCGACGAAACGCCGGAATGCATCGAGACCGAGACGGCACCTCTCAAGATGTACAACCCTACCACCACCCTCAATCGGGAGCAGGAGAAAGAACCTTACAAAAACTCCAGCCTGCCCTTGGCCGCCATCATCGGCGGCGCGGTGGCGCTGGTGGCCATCGCGCTGCTGGCCCTGGTCTGCTGGTACGTCCACAGAAACGGGTCCCTGTTCTCCCGGAACTGCGCCTACAGCAAGGGACGCCGGAGAAAAGACGACTACGCCGAAGCAGGAACCAAGAAGGATAACTCCATCCTGGAAATCAGGGAGACTTCTTTCCAGATGATACCAATAACCACTGACCAAGTGTCCAAGGAGGAATTTGTAATACACACCATTTTCCCACCTAATGGCATGAATCTGTACAAGAACAGCCACAGTGAAAGCAGTAGTAACAGGAGCTACAGAGACAGTGGTATTCCAGATTCAGATCACTCACACTCATGATACTGAGGGGCGCTAGAGACTGGTTTGGGGTTTGTTGGTTTTTTTGGGTTTGTTTTGTTTTTTAAAGGAAACGAGAAAAGACTGACGTAACAGTTGCTGTTCTACTGCAAAACACTGGATTAAAAGACTGACAAAGCAATGTACTGTACATTTGCCATATAATTTATATTTAAGAACTTTTTATTAAAAGTTTCAAATTTCAGGCTACTGCTGCGATTAATGTAGTGGGGATACCTGACCACAATTCTATATTTTAGTATTTTTTAGTAATTTGTACTGTATTTTCCTTGCTAATATTGAAGTTACAGACCATTTAACTTTTGTGTTCTACTAAGTAAGATGACTTGTTGACTGTGAAAGTGAATTTTCTTGCCGTGTTGAGCAGTCAGAACATTCATCTGAGATCCTTGTAAGTGTAAGCACAGGCCATTTTTCACTTTGGTATCAATAAAATCATGTTGAACCTGGCAAAGCAGGAAGATCAAGAAGTGGTTGCAAAAACTTACATAACTTTCAATGTTGGGTCTATTAAACCTGTAAACCACGACAATATTCAATAAACAAAAGTGTGTGTAGTAATGGGCAATATCAGCTGTCTGGATATATCCATTCAACAATGGTGAAATCCAATTTAAAAGCAAATGATCAAATCGATGACATGCATGAGACCGAAGATTTTGACACACCTTTAAAAAAGTTGATCCCTAGAAGAAAACATAATCAAATTCCTAACAAGGAATTTTAAAAAAAGCACTAGGCCCTACAAACCAAGGGGGTAGGATAAGGTTTAGGCATAGATTTTGGGTTATCAAAGCCAGTGGACTGTGTATTAGAGAGAAAAGAGTGATGGATGCTCACAGGCATTTGGGAGACAAGGGCACGAGGATAGAGACAACACTTTGAAACTGCTTTGAGCAGAAAAAGGGCTCAAAATGCAGTTTCACAAGCAAAGAGGGCAGGACCAAAACCAAGGCAATCTAAGCAAGGTCTCAAAAACTTTAGTCCCAAAGGTGAGCAGACAGCTGGGCAATAGCTATTTTCAGGTGTATACAAACAGAATCCAAGTCTGTGTTCAGTATATTGCCATTGCAGTCAGGAATACTGCCCATTACTGTCACAGTTTTCCAGAAATTTCTTGATCAATCTGTAAGGTAACATGTTTCTTTCTGCCTCCCTCCTAAACTCTGAGCTATTCAATGTTTAAACCCCAAGCCACTCTTTGTTGCCATAATCATTCTGTTTCTTCAACTAAAAACCAAAGTGCTTTGTACGCCCTTTGGCCAGTCTTGTGTGTGCCTTGATCCAACGCTACATGTACCAAGCTTTTAAAAGCTACGAAAAAAAAGAAATAATAAAATACCCACTTTTTCATATATAACTTAACTATGAAAAATACTGGTCTTATTGATGAATGAGGTTGAAAAGTTAGTTCAAAGTCTCTGCAGTACACTGGTGAGAAACCCACTCAGAAGCTACTGCTTTTCAGGTCATGAGCTTCACCTTTTTCTGTGTTCAAATTGACGGTATTGCACTTGCAGGTTTCCTTTATTATTAACTACTTGGAAATCAAGTTTTCACGACTGTGAACAGTGTGAACAATGAAAGGGAGGGAAGGCATGGAGTTACAACCCTCTGAGATACAATTTTTTTTCAACAGGAACAGCAAATAAAAGAAAAATACTTAGCAATTCAGACAGTATCTCAGACCAGAAGGAATGTATACCAAATACAATTCAATTTTAAGAGAAACTTAGCAGTGCTTGGCCTGTCATTTTCCCCAAGAGCAGTAAAGGATGGAAGATGACAAGAAGAAACAGTGACAAACACCATGACTGATGGTTTCAGCAGTCAGCCTGCAAGTGATTCTCCTGCCAGGGATCCAACTAACTGCACAGGCCCAAACTTTCCACTAACACCCTTTTTTTTTCATCTTCATTTTCCAGGGAAATTCCTCTCCAAACTCCCTGTGCTATGGTACCGTTTCCTCAACCTCACTCTCAAAAATGTCTCCTGCAGTTCCTAAGTGGTGGAGTAGTCCCAGATGCAGGAGCAGCACTGTGCTTTCCTACTGAACTTAGACAAATCATGTCTTCTCCTTCACATGGAGCATTGCTTGTATCCACAGAAAGGGGCATGTCATGCTACATGATAATGTCCTCAGTTCAGTGTAACACACTAAACAAGACTCTTTTGCTCTGTTTTCCCATCAGGTGCCAATCTAGGGAAGGGCAAGAAAGCCAAGACTGAGCATATGGAGCCTTGTTATGTTTTTGTGCAAGAGGCTTCTGAGCAGTGAACAGGAAAGTAAACCAACACAGATGGACTGGATGGACCTATTCTTTGTCTAAGCTACCATATAGGGACCCCTTATATCTGAGACACATTTAATGGCTGGGTCACTCTGGGCCACTGGCAGTAGATACTAGTTCTTTGCCAGCAGTTCTCCAGTAACAAAATTAAATAGGTTTTGTTGGACTTTCAAGCTATTTATGTGAAAACCTCTCCCCCAGTTGACTCCAAGTTTGTGTTGTAGGAAGGGTAAAACAACACTCAGTGAATGCTCTCCTATGCCTCTCTTGAGGCACCTCAGCCAGAGCTAGCCTGGTAATGGTATGTACCATCTCCGGTGATGCCACACAAAGGTCATAAGGGGTATAAAAAGTTGGCATTTGAGGAGATAATTGCATGAGAATCTTAAGTACAAGGACTTTTCATGTGACATTACTGTCTATGAGGCAGCAGTATGCAAATCTAAAGTGACTTCAGTAAGTTGGCCTAGTTGTTCTTGCTTCACCTTCCACCAGAGAGTGAAAACCTGGCAAGATTCTGTCCTCTGTAGGGGACTAGATCAGGTTTGCAGGAGAGCTGGTGTCCTCCTACCACAGCTGATGTCCATGGAAAAAATGGCATATCAATGCGTACAAGTTCTTCCGTAGGTTCTATGGCAAATTTTAACACAACACGCACAGTATTAACTGGCAAGTAAAAGGCTGATTTCAAACTAAACTGTGGGGGTTTTTTTACTTCGGATATTTATACAAGTTTCTATTCTGCTCCATGCCATGCCAGTCTCTTCCAGACTCTGCTCCTTAAGAGTGCTGCAGTTCCTGCATGCACTGCTCTCCAGCACAAATCCCTTCTCTTAGACAGGTATATACGCTGGCAAATCCGATTACTACATTGAGCAGTTTACTCAGCACATTTATCAAAATAACAGTAATCCACATTAAATTCATCTCAATTTTAAAATTCCATGTTCTTTCAGTGTACTCTTCAATATTTAATTGTGGAGCAAGGAGTGGAATTCTTTTCAGTGTTGCCTAAATCTATGTGCAGAGTTGGTTTGATCAGTATCCTCCATATTCAAATACTATGCCAAGTATCTTTTACACTCTTCATCATCATCTCTGTTTTTACTTATATTGCTATCCTGAATTGCTTACAGTTGTTTTAGCCTGAAAGCTGCCTCCAAAAATACCCTGGTACTTTGGAAACCATATTAATTTTGACTCATCTTGGTACCTTCCAGAACTAAATTTGCTGCATTTATAAGCTGTTATTTCCTAGCTTTCTACAAGAGCCTTATGTGCAACGACTGTTGGGGTTTTTGTTTGGGTTTTTTTCCTCCTGGCTTTAACAGTACCAAATTCAAAGTATGATGGTCTTGGAACACAGTTTCCATTTCTCCTGCTAATGCACTAGCGAGCATGCAAGCTATATTGTGCCAATGCTGTACATACTGAATGTAGAGCAGCAAATGCAATAAAGCAAAAGTAATAAAGACTTATTTGCTATTAAAATAATTTCCTGATGACACAGCACACTAAAGCACGTTTATAGAGTTCTCTGCTAAGGAAGAAGATGCAATTTTGCATGTTCACCTGCAGCTGAAGTTGGATAAGATCTTCAGACGTGAGCTGGCAGATGCCATCTGTCTGGATTTATCCGAACCACATTTGTTTGGGATACTTTTGGATGGAACCGTAATTCACATGGATACCACCTTAACTTTACTTCCAAATCCATATATTGTTTCAGCATCACCTTGGGACTGATCTTTGTTTAATTAACTGTTTCTTTACTGATACCAGAACAAGACCCAAGCCAGCACTTGCCAGTGGTGCAGTACTTTGGGGAAAGCATAAAATTACTCCAAACCTGAAAAGTTTCTTCTTCCAAACTAGCCCAGAGTGGTTTAGCCAGAAAGGAAAAGCTCATTGACTAAATTCAGACATGAAAACTTGACACTTTTTGTTTTCTTTGCAAATAAATTTTAATTTTGGGAGTGGCAGAGTAGGAGTCTCACCCTTGTGATCAAATTAGAGCCCTTTCAAACACTCTGAAGGTACAGCCATGACACAGGTATCAGGTTCTGAGCACAGTTGCTTTAAAAGCTCTTTTGGTAGACATGAATGTTTGATTCCATTTTAATAGTTATTTCATCAAATCATTTCCTGCTCTTCTCAAAAAACTTAGATAAAAACCACAGAAAGCACATGGATCTCACTAAATGGTAGCAGAGGAAATTTTAGTGAGATGCCTTGTTATATCAGCACTGGACATGTAGCAAGGTACTCACTGTATGGCACTCTTTACATGATGGCTGAGGAACATTTCTGCCTTGGGGGGAAACCAAAACGCTTCAAATGGGGGTTAAAATCATTTTCTGGATTTTTGATGGTCTAAGGCAAAGGCGTACAATACATACTCTGGCAACTGAGCAAATGTACATCGTGTATGGAGCTCACCAATGCCTGAAACCTGCAGGTCAGTACTGCAGAATTCAATCACCCAAATTCAACTGCTTCTCAGAGCCCCTTTGTGTTTTCTTAGGATGAAAACATAGTGGAGTCATGGTGTAAAACCGCTTAAGATTAACATGAGCTGAAAACGTCTTTTTGACATGTGAAGCTGGACCTTCTCAGCTTAGCAAGAACACTCATAAATAAGTTATAAAAATAGAAGGGTCCTAATAGGGCTAATTAAATAATCTGACTTGTTCAAGTGGGTTGATAGTGTCCATATAGGCTGATACTCTGTCCTGAACAGCCCTCTTAAGTCATCAAAAACAGGGAGGGGATCATAGCCGAGTGCCAGCACGCGCTCCCGACCCCTCGCACAGCTTAAGGAATATCTATCTATAGACAGAGCCGTGGAGAGTCTGACAGTTCAAACTCGAGGGTCTGCACTGTATTCTGTAATCATAAACTGTGGCAACATCATTTACAAAAGGCTGAAATTATGCACATTATGCATAATTCAACTCTTTTAATTTATGCAAAATATTTAAAAATTTATTTAGATCAGAACTGCACATCCGATTTATGTAACACTGTTCCTCCAGTGGCCTTAGTCCCTGAGAAATGCCTACTAGGCAACTGGCTTTCCACAGGAAAATGTGTTTACTGGGGGTTGTGGATTGGGTTATTTATTTGAATGCTTTTTCTTGTCCTTTTTTTTTAATTAAGAGGCATAAATAATTTTACTGCAAGTCTTTCCATTTTCCTGGGATACAAAAGTGAACTGGTTGACAATTTTAAGTGAATGCCTTCAACACACATTTAAGGCAGGTTCTAGTGGGGTAAAAGCTCTCCCCACAAACTTTCCTTTCCCAACTCACCTCATGATTAACACTTTCTAGGATTTTACCTTGAAGCCTTGCTCTTATTGCAAGGATTGCACTAGGGTAATGAGATGCATTTCCACCACTGTAAGATCCAGCTCCAAACTGGGGACTTGTTAATTCTGAGATGCACAAGAGCAGCTGTATTTACATACACTGGTATGGTTTAGAAGTAGAAGTATTTCAGGCTAGGTAATACGCAGCAGCAAATTCAAGCCTTTGTCCAACTCTTGAGCCTTGCTGTATTAACATAATATCC